CCCCAAAACCCCAAAACCCCAAAACCCCTTATTACACAGAACACTTTGAAAGACTTCTATTAAGGGTCAGTATGGATTGCTCTAATGAAGTTGGCGGGTTATAAAAGGCGATAGAGAAAGAACTTACGCCTATTTTATTTCGAGACTACTTAAGCTCTCTATACCCCTCTAATGCTAAGCCATGGTTTGACCGAGCCAAACTTGCTCTATTTTGGTTGTTTATTGCTCTAGTATTTTCCTTCCCAATTTAATGAAAGTGGCTATGAAGCATCTACTAAGCTTCTTTATCTCTTTAGATAAATTTATACAGTCTTGCAGGCCTCTTTAAGCATAAAATAATTTATGAGAAGTGTCAGAGAGGTATAGCTCTCAAAAATTGCTTCAAAAAATGATAGATTTTGTCATAGTATTTTAATCATAATATTATTTAGATGATACAACTTGGAATGTGGTTTGAAAGATTCCGAGTAGGGTGAGAATTTTCTACAAAGAAGTGTTCAATGATCCCTGAATACTAGAATTGAAACACAATTCTGGTAATTTTTCATCTTCTATCAGTAAGAAACATGGTTTAATGAGTAAATTTTTACACTTTTTCGGGAAATCTAAGCTCAGATTCCTGTTTCTACGATGGAAAGACTTTGAGTTTGTTTTGCTCATTCTTTGTCTTGATTGGCTTATCTTCTGATTCCTAATAACTTCTCTTAAGTCCTTCAAAGCAATGCTCTGATCATCCTCGGCACTCCCCCATTTGATTGGAATCGAAATATTTTTGCTGACGTTGAGCTCATAATTTTCACTTTTCTTTTGATTTCTAAACAAAAGTTAGATGCTGGAAAGGTTAAAATTATCTCAAAATGGCAGAATTCAACTAATTCATCAACATTCCCTCGGGTCTGTGCTTCTTTTATCACATTCGTCTTGGCCAAAGAAAACTTGGATATTTCATGAAATTTGCTGAATAAAAATTCAAAATTTGATAATAGAAATAATTGGATGAATTTGTTCATATATCTACCAGAAGAGAAAATTAGGGCTCTATTCATCCTAGCAGTAGCACTTTATGGTCATCCGAAATTCTAAGTTCATACTAGGAATATGAATTCCTGAGATGCTCCAGAGAGTGCTCCCACACTATCTTTGAAGTATTGGTATTTCTAACATATTTCTTTACATAAATAATTTTTGGTGATGAATTCGCTCGTGGAGTTAATAAAGATTTCAAAAACCCAGGTTAAATGTGTCCCAATTGTTATTGGAGAATTAACTTACTTTTGGGAAAATTGTTTGGGCTCTAATAGCTTGCTAATGTTTTTCCTTGCCTTGAGGGCTTTGTACATGGCTGATCTGTAACGAGAATCATGCATTAGCTCAGCTGTTGCTGTGGCTTTGGGACTACCGAAGAATGTCTTTTTGAAGATTTGTTCCACAGGGGATATTTTTGACGAAAATTCAGCATTTTGGTGTTTAGAAGAGAGCTTCGATGCAGCCTTTTGAGTACCATTAGTTGAGAATAGCCTTGCTCTATTTTTACTCTCATTGGCCCCATTGGTATTCATCCTTCTTGCTACAGGCTTCACCAATCTGGTCTTATTGAGTTTCAGAATAGGGGTTCTGCCTTTGAAAATATGCTGAAATCTTTCAGAAGTAGTGGCGTTCATGGAGCCAGCAAATTGGGATGACTCATGCAACACATTAGTGGTACCTCATGAAGTCTCTTTGCTAGTTTTATTTGAATTAGGTATCCCCTCTGTGATAATCGAGTTACTTAGGGTAGAAAAACTCGTGTTCTCAAAGGAGGAAGAGACTCTTTTACTCGGTTTCCTGAGGTGGTTATGCTCATAAAGATGCTTTTTGCCTTGCGAGCTTGTGCAAAGAAGCCTGATTGGTTTCTTTCCACACTTTGAACTAGTTTTATCTCTCATTTCACCTGTTTGTGTTTTTAGTAGAATAAATTCAATTGTATTTATCCAAGTGGGGTTTTGGGGTTTTGGGGTTTTGGGGTTTTGGGG